TTTACTCACTGTTCGAAAAAAACGTCTCTAATCCCATCGTGGGTAAACTGCTAACCCATAACGCGTTGTGGACAAAAAATTCGGGCAGTCGGCGATTTCGTCTATTGCGAATAACAAATACATATTCAAGTATTGTATACATATTTATGTACTGCACGTATACGTATTCAATTTGTTGCTAAAAGCAGGGTTTAAAAAAATCATGATTTTTTTGAAAAAATAAAAAAATCCATTATGTTTTATTTTCTGTTTAAATAAATTTGTATTTTTCTAATAAATAAATAAAATAAATTTGATATTTTATTCAACCTTTCCAGTAAGATACATTTATATACTTTTACATTTGGTTTAATTATCCAATATTTTATTTTAAGTAAAATTTTTTGAATCAATATTTTAATTATTTTACTTAGGTTACAATTCATTTTCATTCAATTCAATTCATTTTTAACCTTTAAATTTATTAATCCAAGTAATTTTAAAGATTAAAACTGCTTCCATGTTTATTATTTTACTACTAATGTTGATTTAGTGTTGGTAGATCTTGATTTTTTGTTGATTTCACTACGTTTCGACTGGTCATCTCCAATCGTCTTTAGGTGATAATGGTTTAAATATTTTGAAACCTCTGTTTTTATCTTGTTGTTGCTTGTTACTGTTCACTGAGCAGAAATTGTTTAGTCTTCCTTTTGTTGTGTGTTCTGTGTTCTTTTATCCTTACGTTTAGTGGCCTCTTGGTTTTGTGGTGGTTTTGTTTTTGAGAGATTGCTTCTCAGTGTATTTCGTGAAGAATCTCTCAAAAACAAAACCACCACAAAACCAGACCAAAAATGTGATTTATCATGTCCAATGTACTTGCGGAAAAGCATACATAGGAGGATCCAAAAGGCCACTAAACGTAAGGATAAAAGGACACAGAACACACATAACAAAATCCGGATTGGCGGAACAGGCCTGGAAAGAACACCACAACATATTATTGGAAGACGCAAAAGTTTTAAACACAGAACCACAATGGTTAAAAAGAAAATTTTTGGAAGCTGCATATTAGCCAAAACAACCACATTTTCAGCAACCCCAGCGTGGAGATTAAACCCGTGTGGAAACCCATGTTACGGAAGACTAAACAACTTCTGCTCAGTGAACAGCAACAAGCAACATTGAACATGCGACGGAACACTAAACAACTTCTGCTCAGTGAACAGTAACAAGCAGCAACAAGATAAAAACAGAGGTTTCGAAAATATTTAAACCATTATCACCTGAAGACGATTGGAGATCACCAGTCGAAACGTAGTGACAAAAAAACGATCTGTGCAAAATGCTAAATTGCTAAATCGATTTAGTTTTGGGAGACCCTCAAAGGTCTTAAAGTTGGAACGTGGCACACGCGACGATTGATTTCGTTTAAATGCGGTATATTGTTTCCTATTTCGACCATTTTTTTAAGACATCCAAGAAAACGAAGCAATCATGTGCATTCATAATGAGGGACAGATTGAGCATTGCTCTCACCTGGATAATGAGAAAGTACCCTTTTTTCGGAAAACCTGTCTCCTTTTTGCAAATTTTAAAACCAAATAAAATATGCAAGAAGGATTAAGTTTTTAATAGATAACTTTTATAAGATAAAATCCTTTTTATTCACAATTATTAAAATTTCTATAACATTTTCTAAAAACTATGTCGATGATTGAAAGAACTTAAACATTATTTTTTCCTAAGAGAGGATTTAGTCGCAGTTGGGTATTTTTTCCGGTCTTCGGCAACGATCTGTATAACAAATTGTTCCTCGGTTTCTTTTTTTGTAAGGATGTTGTTGTAATCGTGAATGAGTTTGACACCTCGTTCAGCCACGTCATTCACAACAAGTACCTTCTGAAGTTTTTTAAATACACTTTTGTAGCCAGGATCATCCTTTCATGCTAAATGATCTATGTCGAAGAAATCGATGCTGATAGAAAATCTTGTAAAGAAAGCTTTTGTACTAGCAGTTACAAAAGACGAAAAATCGATATTAGTAAAGGAAGAAAAGTATTTTGATGAAGAATGTACCTTTTAAATTAAAATCCATTATGTTTTATTTTCTGTTTAAATAAATTTGTATTTTTCTAATAAATAAATAAAATAAATTTGATATTTTATTCAACCTTTCCAGTAAGATACATTTATATACTTTTACATTTGGTTTAATTATCCAATATTTTATTTTAAGTAAAATTTTTTGAATCAATATTTTAATTATTTTACTTAGGTTACAATTCATTTTCATTCAATTCAATTCATTTTTAACCTTTAAATTTATTAATCCAAGTAATTTTAAAGATTAAAACTGCTTCCATGTTTATTATTTTACTACTAATGTTGATTTAGTGTTGGTAGATCTTGATTTTTTGTTGATTTCACTACGTTTCGACTGGTCATCTCCAATCGTCTTTAGGTGATAATGGTTTAAATATTTTGAAACCTCTGTTTTTATCTTGTTGTTGCTTGTTACTGTTCACTGAGCAGAAATTGTTTAGTCTTCCTTTTGTTGTGTGTTCTGTGTTCTTTTATCCTTACGTTTAGTGGCCTCTTGGTTTTGTGGTGGTTTTGTTTTTGAGAGATTGCTTCTCAGTGTATTTCGTGAAGAATCTCTCAAAAACAAAACCACCACAAAACCAGACCAAAAATGTGATTTATCATGTCCAATGTACTTGCGGAAAAGCATACATAGGAGGATCCAAAAGGCCACTAAACGTAAGGATAAAAGGACACAGAACACACATAACAAAATCCGGATTGGCGGAACAGGCCTGGAAAGAACACCACAACATATTATTGGAAGACGCAAAAGTTTTAAACACAGAACCACAATGGTTAAAAAGAAAATTTTTGGAAGCTGCATATTAGCCAAAACAACCACATTTTCAGCAACCCCAGCGTGGAGATTAAACCCGTGTGGAAACCCATGTTACGGAAGACTAAACAACTTCTGCTCAGTGAACAGCAACAAGCAACATTGAACATGCGACGGAACACTAAACAACTTCTGCTCAGTGAACAGTAACAAGCAGCAACAAGATAAAAACAGAGGTTTCGAAAATATTTAAACCATTATCACCTGAAGACGATTGGAGATCACCAGTCGAAACGTAGTGACAAAAAAACGATCTGTGCAAAATGCTAAATTGCTAAATCGATTTAGTTTTGGGAGACCCTCAAAGGTCTTAAAGTTGGAACGTGGCACACGCGACGATTGATTTCGTTTAAATGCGGTATATTGTTTCCTATTTCGACCATTTTTTTTAAGACATCCAAGAAAACGAAGCAATCATGTGCATTCATAATGAGGGACAGATTGAGCATTGCTCTCACCTGGATAATGAGAAAGTACCCTTTTTTCGGAAAACCTGTCTCCTTTTTGCAAATTTTAAAACCAAATAAAATATGCAAGAAGGATTAAGTTTTTAATAGATAACTTTTATAAGATAAAATCCTTTTTATTCACAATTATTAAAATTTCTATAACATTTTCTAAAAACTATGTCGATGATTGAAAGAACTTAAACATTATTTTTTCCTAAGAGAGGATTTAGTCGCAGTTGGGTATTTTTTCCGGTCTTCGGCAACGATCTGTATAACAAATTGTTCCTCGGTTTCTTTTTTTGTAAGGATGTTGTTGTAATCGTGAATGAGTTTGACACCTCGTTCAGCCACGTCATTCACAACAAGTACCTTCTGAAGTTTTTTAAATACACTTTTGTAGCCAGGATCATCCTTTCATGCTAAATGATCTATGTCGAAGAAATCGATGCTGATAGAAAATCTTGTAAAGAAAGCTTTTGTACTAGCAGTTACAAAAGACGAAAAATCGATATTAGTAAAGGAAGAAAAGTATTTTGATGAAGAATGTACCTTTTAAATTGATCTCTTTCTTCTTCTTTTTCTTCAGTTTTGTCTGTTTCCAACATAATTTGAGCCATATTGGCCTTAACAGCTGTTACAAATAATTACACAGCCACAGTTTCGAGAACTAAATACCAAAGATGGTTGGAAAATTTTCAATATCCTGGTAATTTATCAGTTGACGCATGATTAGAAAGTCATGATAAGGTGCTCTTTTTGCTTCTGATGACAGAAACTAAGCTCGAACGTACACTCGAGCAAAAAAAATACAAATTCTTCTTAAAGAGTCCTTCTCATTTTGAGTTAACTGAAATTGATCTTGAAACAGGTATATCTTAAATGCATAAATTGCTTTTGCCATACACCTAGCATGACTCACAGCATCTGGTGTACCAAACGATATGCCGTTCTTTGGAATGCCGCCCAGAAAGATTATCGTTAACTCCAATCATCTCGCGGTTGTTTCTGTGTCAAAAGGCGGTGATCAAGAAATGCCAGAATGGTAGAGCCAACATCTTCCGATACTTCATTGCAACCACTTATGTATACGTTCTTGTCGAATTTCGCCCAGTTGTCTCTAAATCTATTGAAAAGCGCCATATCTGGCCAAAATAGCTTCTCAAAACTAACTCAAAGATGTGATGACGGCAAGGCAGATACAACAAGCAATGATTGAATAATTTTTCTAGGTTTGTACAGGCCCCATTTACTCGACCAGTGTTGCTTGCTATCGTATCACAGCAAGGTGCCTGAATTTTTTTAATTATACCCCACAGTGGGGAATTTAATTCCATTTTCTTCAGGAGAACAGCAAGCCTTGGCGGTTTACCAGGCAGTGGATAAGTGGGGTCCCCACTTATATACTGCCTGGTAAACCGCCAAGACTTGCTCTTCTCCCGAAGAAAATGGAATTTCTGGGACTCCTAACAATTGCTGCTTGCCTTGAAAAGTTACTATTACTGCCAGTCTATCAACTTTCTCAACACCTGTGAGCGCTGGGAGCAGCTTTCCATCCCAGCATTAACTATTGACAGTCCTTGATGTTAAATTTGTGTGCGTCTCGCTTCTCTAAATTTTTTTCTTAGGCGTTGGAATGAAGTGCGATTTATTACCATTTCTATTAGTGATTTTACACCTATCAAAAACTTCAGAGAGGCGGGGAGTAAAAAACTGAAATGTACCTCGAGACGCTGAGACTTTTTCGGGTCCTGCGGTTGTTGCTGCTGCTGATATTTGCTGAAAGATGACTGGGGAATTTTCACTATCATCACCAGCATCACTACTTCGGCTGCTTGATGTTGAATTATCAATGTCTGATGTAGCAAGCTGTTGAGTAGCATTTTTTCTTTTTCCTTGCCTGTAGTTCTAGTCAAATTTTTGTGAAAACCTTTTCATTTATTAAACAGTTTGAGTAATCTATCAACGCAGTAGTATCTAGTAGGAATTCGTGCTTTTTGCCAAAAAATGGAAACTTCTTGAATCACCAGTACTGCACTGTTTTGTCGTCAGTTGGACAACTCTTATATTGTAGAAAAAACGCTTAAAAATTGCCGGATAGAAGGTAGTTTTGCTCCGACGATTTGATTGGAAATATTGCCAACAAGAGAGAAAAAAATCTTAACTTTTTTGACGAACTACTTGAAGAAGTTGAGACCATTTTATAACTCACTTTACACTAGCAGCACAAATATATGTTTACTATTGTCTCTCGTATTAATCTTGCTTCTATACTGATTTCTGAAGGTAGTTTTTTTTAAGATAGATTTGTGAGTATAATCAAAAAACTACCTTCAGAAATTAACCCGAAAATGTACTTTTTCTTGATAAATGTGGCCGTGTAAGCCTTAAATCTAAAAATAACACTATGTTGTGTACAATTGTACCACAAAATTTTAAAAATTCCCTATTAGTTACAATAATCTACCCACCATTAAAATGTTTTGTGCTAAAAACTGAAATATTCTGGGAAAGGGCAAAGTGGTATCTTAATTGCTGGTCTAGTGCTATTGGGAATTCTTAAAAATATAGTATCCAATAAAATCTGCGCCAATATTAAAAATAAGTAAGTCTATTAAGTAAGTTTATCTATAAAGAAAAAAAATGGTCGAAATAGGGAAAAGTATACCCCTTTTCAGCATAATTAGTGGTTGCATATAATATGTTCTAACTTCAGGGAGTTTGAGGGTCGCTTTGCAGCAGTCTGAGCTAAAATTTTGCCCAGATCGTCTTTTTAGTTATTCGAACAAGATTGGGGGTGGGAGCGGCAAAATTTAAATTTCGAAAAATTAACTAGTAGCTAAGGGCAACCCTAATATATACTGTACTGTATATATAATGAAACTTTAAAAATCCCTCTTCATCTCCCCAGCCGAAAATTTTCCAGTCGAGCAGTCCGGCCGATGTTGTAACCCTACCCCTGCAGCGCGCTGCTTTCCATCGTTTCCAGATGTACGGGGTTTGTATACTCCGTGATACTTACATAATTGTATATAATCTTGTTTGACTTATGTGCCCCCTAGCGCTAAAGCATTGGAACTAAAGGTGTATATTTTGATATTTTTGGATGACATTACGAAGCCCACCACTTTTTCGGCATTGAAACAAGGGGGTATCACTTAACTCGAAAACAAATTTATACACGGTAATTTTAGGAAGCCCGATTTCGGGATTCGTTAAAACCGAGTGGGCTTCGTTTATACTGTAGAATGTAAAGTTTCCGGCTTGGTAATGTCGGATATATATATATATATATATATATATATATATATATATATTCAGGCCTTATCTGCTGGGCTGCTGCTGCTACTCTGCTGCGAGTTAGACGTGGGGTCATTCCACAATACTCGGGGATTTTTGTCCCGCTCGTCACAATTAAAAATTGTGAGTAAAAACTACACCTTATAAAATTTAGTTTAAAATATTGTTTATCATGCTTTTAATAAGTTATAAGCACAATAAAAATAACCTTTTAAAATATTAATTTAATAACTTGTGGCAATTTTTAATTGTAACGTTACATTCTATTTAAGCTTGAATAACTTTTGAACGAGTAGATTTACCATACAATTTTAAAAGACAATTTTTGTAGAGCGTTTATAAACAGAACACATCTGTTATCGAGTTATATACCTTATTTTACAGTAAAGCATTTTTTCATGTTATTTAAATAGGAAATAGATGAGGGACCTCTAATAATATTAAGAGATAAAATTAAAACAATCAAGTTGTTTTTATATCCACATAGTTAATATGGAGTTTCATCAAGTAAAGGTCGAAACAATTAATAATATAACTGAGTAACTTTATTTCTTTATTATTTTTTTGTGTTAGTTAGGTATGTATTGACCAGGGCCGTTCCTGGCGAGCGTGCAGTGCGTGCACGCACGCAGGCGCAACATTTTGGGGGCGCAAAATTAAATAGTCAATCAGTACTTTGAAAGGATAAACTTTCTTGCAAATAAACAAATACTTAAACATACATAGGATAAAGGTTACCGCCTTTCTTTGCGTCGGCCGCTATAAAGCGCCTTTTGCCGCTTTGATATTGGCGGCTTAATTTTTTTTTGATATTTGTATCAAAATAAAAGGAGTGAAATTGTCATAATATTTTTTTCTACAACAAAAGAGAGCGCAAAGTTGCACTTTTCCGAGGAGCAAGCGTTTTTTTACTTCCCTCCAAAACTTAGTTACCATGGAAACCATAATAACGAAACGTCTAGTATATTAAAGTCAAATTTGAGGTTATAAATAATTATTAATTATTAGAAAACATTTTTATAAAAACACCGGTTGTAGAAAAAATCCTGTGTGTAATTCGGGCGCAAAGTGACATTGCCGCTCTCGCGAGATAGCCGCGCTCCGCTAAGCGTCGCAATATGCGTCAAACTTCTTCCTCAGAGCGACACTTTGTGCTCTTAATACACAAATAGCTATAGTATTTGTTTGATAGTTGTAGTTGACCGTAGCAAAGTTTAACAGTTGTTTTATATGACTTGGTAACGAGCTTACTCTCTAAAATTGAATAATAATTATCGCCAACAGCAATTTGTATCTCGGACATTTGACCGTCAACTCCTATGTAAAATTTTCGTCAAAAGTTATAAAAGTAAAACAGTTTTTGAGATATAGTCAAGTTTCCATATAATATGGAATTAAATATATTTTAAAAGCTGCTTTACTTTAATAATTTTTGACAGTCTTTTCGGATTCAGGGGACAATTTTATATAATAATAAGCTGTTAAATGCCCGGGATACAAATTGCTGTGGACTACAGCTTTAGTGTCTGCTTTTTCACTTTGAAAACTAGTCATTTTTGACTAATTTATTTTTAGAGAGTACGTCACTAACCAGTTGTAGTTATTATATTGTTTATATGTTTTGTTTTCTTTAGAGTATTTTTATTACTAAATATTTTTTGTGATTTTGTTTGTTTGGTAATTTAATAAGCAGTTTTTTTACATTTTCAATTACATTTTGCCAGTTTGTTGCAAAATATATATTTTTTTAATTTTAGGGCTTTAAATTAAAATATTTAATTTATTATACATATTTAAATATAAAAGGAGCGCACCAAAGAATGCTGCACGTAGGCGTCAGATACCCCAGGAACGGGCCTGTGGCGCGCTAAAGGTACAATGTGGCAAGCTAAAGTTTCTGATATGGTGTTAAAGATTCTATAGAGGTTATTTAAATAATTTATAATATATTAATAACACAAGGGAACAGCATTTTTGTTGCATGAAATATTATGACTAATATTATACTTTCTCGGGGTGCTGATTTCAGATCTGAAGTCAAATTGTTTGTATCAGCTTTAGTTTTTGAGATATAATTAATACGCGTTTTTTTAAAAAAATCAAAATTTTATTAAAAAAACCATTAGAAAAACAACTACTACTTATCAAAAATTTTCTTTTATAAGATTTTGTTGCTTGACTTGGTTCACGAGGGCTGTTTTTAATGCTCCAACAATAGTCCGCCATCATGAGAGCATTCCCGTGACCCTGGTAACGTTCCTCCATAGTTCGAATGTCTTGATGAAACCGTTCCCCTTGTTCTTCGCTCAGATCACCAAGATTTTCAGGGAAACGGTCCAAATGCATGTGGAGGAAGTGTACCTTGATGCTCATATTAGAACCAAGCTGCTGGAAGTGTGACAACATCAGTTCAATATGCTCCCCATAGCTTTCATCCTTTTTGTTTCCCAGAAAATTTTGTGCGGTCCAAACGAATTCATTCCAGGCATTTTTTTCAATATCAGTCATGTAACTAGTAAAGTTTTCATCCTTTATTAACCTTCTTATTTGTGGACCATCAAAAATTTCGGCTTTAAGTTTCTCTGTGCTCAAATTATAGAACTTTTTAGAGATGCATTTAAAACAATCACCATCCTTATTCAGAGCTTTGACAAATTGTTTCATAAGCCCTAGTTTGATATGTAAAGGTGGCAGTATTATGCGATCCCTGTGCACAAGGGGTTCATTTATCACATTCAGTTTTCCCGGAACCATATCTTGCCTGGAAGGCCAATCTTTTCTAACCCAGTGCTCAGACTTAGCTCTGCTGTCCCACAGACAAATAAAACAAGGATATTTTGTATAGCCCCCTTGTTGTCCAAGAAGAAAATTCACCATTTTTAGATCTACACATACTTGATTCTAATATTATATAGGGTTGGGAAATTATGTTTTGAATCTTTTAATCAACAAATCACAAATTTTTTAAGAAATATTTTGTAATAAATCTTTTAATATAGTGGTAGTAAGCAAAGTAAAAAGTGTTAATATAATTTTTTTATAATGTATATTCCCTACCACAAAGTTACGGCTTCCGCAATTAATTTATTAAAAAACTTTTTTAAAAAACAGCTCGGTCAAATCAAACGTTTAAATGTGACTAGTACAGGAATATGTCTGACAGCTGTATCTCAAAAACTAGAGCTGCTAAAGAAAAAATGGGGTTAGATTTGAAATCAGCGACCTCAAATTAATAAACAACAGGCATTAAATTCCATGCAACAAAAAAATAGTTTAATTTTGTTCCCTTGTGTAATAAGAGTTCTAAAATTTGTAAAATTAAAAATGCACCAAATACTCATTTAAGTGTAACAACCATACGGTAATATTATTATTTTTTTATTAAAACTATAGGAATTAAACTGGGCGCCATTTTTAAAATATGGCGTTAATCAAAAGATAATTAAAGGTTCATGAAGTTTTTTATACAGAAAACATTTGGCACTTGCCATATATACTATATAGGTCTTTTGTAGTAAATTATACAAATATTTGAAAAGGGCCATTTGCAAGAACTTATCACGACAGCCTTTTATCAAAATTAATATTTCAATTAAAACATTTCTGTGAAGGCCCAGTACAATGAAAGCTTTGGGTAAAAATTTCATTATTAAGCCATGAACTTCTGTAATGGGCCATTACATAATCAGACTTATGTGTTTGCTGGGATTATAATATTAGTAACATTATACAGTGCGGACGTTAAAAGTCCCCCCCTGTTATCTTTTGAACGAAAAAAGGTCTCGACATCGGACAAAAACCATTGTCAAGGACATTAAGAATACTACTTTTTGACGTCAAATTGATAGATGCCCATTTAAGGAGCGCCAAGAGGGCAGTATCACCTTAAAAATTTTAAAGGGAAAGGGGGCTTGTGATACCTCATTTGAAAGGTATTTTGATTTTCTATTTGATGCTATTTAAATTTTTAAAATCCGTTTAACGGTTGCTGAGATATTAAACGTTTAAATAAAATTAAGTCTCAAATCAAATTTTATTATTAAGTATAAGGTTTTCATTCATTAAGTACAATAAATCATCAAATTAGATGTTCGAAATGCTCCCCTTGGACAATTCACATTCTAAGAAAACAACACAAAATGATGCTGACGTAATTAAATTCAAAAAATAAGTAAAACATGCCATACAAAATGCTACTATGCAGCAAATTATCGCAATAAACGAAGACGAACCTTTCACCGAGGTGAAACACAAAAAAGACGCCAAAATGGCAACAAAAACAAACCAATCATAGGTAATATGGAAACCGGAATAAAAACTGTTGGCCAACAAATATTTTTGCATGTTTATAAACTGGATCCAAAAACCACTCAAGAAAATCTAAAGGAAATAATCAAACCAACGTTTCCTGAAGCAGTTGTTAAAAAAATAATCTCCATGTTCCCTAAAATCTACTTTTCGTTCAAAGTTACAATTAAAGCAGAGAATTTGGATCTAGCCTATAAGCCAGAGTCGTGGCCAAACGGTGCATGGGTAAATAGGTTTTTTCACCGAAGGAAGAAGATGGAAGAGCCACAATAATGTCAAAATTAAAAAACAAACAAAAAATCAATGAAGGAAACACGGTAAGTCTGTTCCATATAAATATTTGTAGCCTTCGGAATAAAATCGATGAGTTGTCTCTTTTCATTGATAAATACCTGACCTGTCCTATACAATAATTAATTGTCTTTTTGGATCAATAAAATATTATTAAATACAATTTTAGTGTGGTGTGCATTTCTGAAGTATGGTTAAAGGAAGCACCCTTTAAATCAATCAACATTGCAAACTATACACTAGCCAGTCAGTTTTGTAGATACCAAAAAAGTCATGGTGGTGTGTCAATTTTTGTCAGAAATGACACAAACTTTGTATCAGTAGAAGTAGACAAATATTCAGCAGAGTTACATGCTGAACTTTGTGCAACCTACATTGAAAGTATGCATACATTAGTAATTTCACTCTATAGATCCCCTGACGGAGATTTTGACATATTTCTTGGGGCTCTGGAGGGACTATTGATTGATGTGTCTGGTAGATATAAAAATATAGCTGTCCTAGGTGATTTTAATGTTGATTTTTTATCAAATTCTATGCAACGAAATGATCTAGTACACCTAATAAAATCGTTCAATCTAGATATTTGTAGTTGTATATATAATATACTTACCAGTATAAATGATTGATGTGAGTCGGGCATTATAGATCCCTGTTTGTCAGACCACAAAGTTCAATTTATTAACATAAAAACTAACAAAAAAATTGAGTCAAATCCAATATGGAGATGTATCACAAAAAATAACATGAAAAAATTTCAAAATGATCTAAAGAAAATTAACTGGAGTATTTTTGACAATCCAGATAGCTCAGTCGAGCATCTGTCTGAATTTCTGGTAAAAACATATAAGAATTTAATTGATAAACACTTCCCATTGAAAAAATGTTTAAAAAAAACTAAACCACCTGTTAATCGGTTTAACAATTCTCTAAAAAAAAATGAGAGACACTATTTCATGTTTAAAATTAATTTCTGAGGTTACAAAAAGCCTTGAAGATACTGAAGCTTACAATGAGTTTAAAAAAGCGTATTGTTTGTCTGTTAAAAATTCAAAAAGAAATGCATATAATGATTTTATTCATAACTCAAGTAATAAACCAAGAGATTGTTGGAAGTTAATAAACTATGAGAGAAATAAAGTTAAGAAATCTAATATAGACAAAGTAATATCTCCCGATATGTTTAACAATTTTTTTGCTAAAGCTGCAGAAAACATTGATATAGTTATTTGGTGTTTTGGGTAATAAATAACTCAGATTTCTGAATATCTATTTAATATATTCTTGATGTAAAAATACAACGGTACATCTTGTTTTATAAACTATTTGACAGTATCTAACGATTTTAAAAACAGCAGCCAACTTATATAATTCAATGTTATAACCGTAACAATAAATAATTCTAACACCCCTTTTCAATTTAAATGTACAAACTAAAACATTTGAATTGTTAAACTAACATATCAATGACTTAACAAACTTGAACGAAATCTTATAAATTTTTCTTTAACAAGAGGCTTCGTAAACATATCTGATATATTTTCATTTGAAGGAATGTATTGCAAAATTATTACCTTTTTTAGATACAAATCTTTGATGAAATGATACTTTATATCAATATGTTTCGAACGCTTTGAGTTTTCAAAATTTTTAACTAAAGAAATGGCACTTAAATTATCAATTTTTAATGTCACTGATTCACAGATTTTGAATTCACTTAAAACACCTTTAATGTTTATCAGTTCCTGAGCAGCAATACCAGCAGAAATATATTCTGCTTCCATTGAAGATTGTACCACACACGCTTGTTTTCTGGAATGCCATCCAATCGGGTTTCCACCATGTAAACATACAAAACCACTAACACTTTTTCTGGTTTCTCTATCCCCAGCCCAATCGGCATCGCATAAACCAATTAGCTCCTGCATGTTCCCCTTTTTAAACTGTAGTCCATAATCTTTAGTTGCATTCAAATATCGCAAAATCCTTTTTCCAGCCTCCCATGTACTTTTTCTTGGTTTGTCCAAAAATCTACTCAAGTAAGCAACACTAAATGCAATATCTGGTCTACTGACTAAAGAAAGATACATAAGACTGCATATCAATCTTCTATATGGAACGTTGTCCAAAATTGGTTCCTCTTCATTGACTTGGAAGTTCACTTCCATAGGTGTTGCCACAACTTTTGTGTCTTGCATTGAAAATTCTTTGAGTAATCTTGAAATCATCTTATTTTGGGTAATTTTTAGACCTGACTCATGTTTGATCATTTCCATGCCAAGAAAAATGTTTACTTCTTTCATCATTTTTATATTAAATTCTTTATGTAGATTTCTTAGCAATTCTTGAACTTGTTGTTCTGGTCCTGTTATGAGCCCATCATCCACATATAATACCAAATAAACATCATTTTTGGTATATAAACAATAGTACGACTATACGTCTGAACGTTTGAAATTTAATTGAGTCATAACTTGGTTAAACTTAATATTCCAACATTTAGGTGCATTTCTTAATCCATATAATGCACGATTTAGTTTTAAATACTTCGAATCTATTTTTAAGCCTTCTGGTGTCTTTATGAAGACATCAGTGTCTAACATTCCATTTAAAAATGCAGTTGGTACGTCAATTTGGTACAATTTCCAATCTTTTTGCACTGAAAATGATAACAACACACGAATTGTTGACAATCTGCATACTGGAGCATAGAAAAACTCTTCATTATTTAAAGGCACTTGAAAGCCTTTTGCGACTAATCGAGCTTTCTTTGTTCCGTCCTCCTTAACTTTAAAAATCCATCTCGTATCAATGGCATGACAATCTAAGGGTAGATTTGCAGGATGCCAAGTTTCTAGTTTTTCATGAGATTTCAATTCTTTATCAATCGCTAGTTGCCATTCTGGAATTTTACTCGCTTCTTTATAAGTTTTTGGTTCTTGATCTGGTTCTCCACTTAACAAGCAGTAAGCTATGTAAGTATCATAATCGTTAAGATGTACAGGTAGTTCAGATCCTTCCGGATCTAGTTTTGGTTTGTTGTACATTTTCTTCATCGCTTGAAGTTGATCTTTTACTCAATTCTTGATCATTGTTCTGGATTTCACTATTTTCATTTATGTCTTCTCTGTATTTTTCGGTAAAATCAACAATCA